GATACGAAAGGCAATCCTGGAGATACTGGACGACTCTTAGCAACCAACTTGCGTATTATTTGGTATTCCCTATCGCATAAAAAATATAATTTGTGTAAGAGGAAAATAGAGTACTTAGCAAAAGTAGATATTTCTCAAATATAATCCTTAAACACTTTTAATTGATTTTTCTCATATTTAAGCTATCGGCTATGCTCGCTTTGTCAACACCAACACACGCTCAGTGGTCCCCAAAGTGGGTGGCCCTACCCAAGCGCTCTACATACTGGCAACCGGCAGTAATACGCGTTTTGAATTTCTCTTCACTGATGTCTCTGGCGATACGGCACGCAGGAATACTCCAATTTTCCAAAGCGTTTTCGAAATATATCAGTATGTACATACATATATACATTCATATGTACTACATATTTAATTCAATTTCAAATGGTAAGCTTTCTTTATTTGGTGCATTTTCGCTTCAGATTATATCAACGCACCTACCTGTACAGAGACCTGAAATTACGTGGCGCCATTGTACTATCGGGACAACTGATAATTATGCCAGACGAATTGGTCTATAATAATGTTAACGGTGTTTGGAATTTGTCTAGCGATCAAGGCAATTTGGGTTCATTTGTGGTGACCAATATACGTTTGGTGTGGTTTGCCGATGCCAATGATACTTTCAATATTAGTTTACCCTATCTACAAATTGCGAACGTAAGTATCCATTAGTATTAATAGGTGCAATCCCGTATTCCTCGGACTCGGACTAGTCAAAAAATAAAAATTCGCTCAGAGCGAAAGAGTAACATTGAAAAGTACGGGATCGCTTTCTAGTAAAAAATGGTAACTGCTGTCAACTTCAACATAACCTCCAAATTTTGGTTGTAAATTTTTGCTTATTTTGAATGTAAACACACTCAGCTCACACATGTAAATAACCAAAAATACTTTCCAATTCATTAGAATCCACTTAAACAAGTAATTAAATACTTTTCAACATGAATTAGCAGAGTGCACTTTTCTTTTGTTTACAATTTGGTTGCCAAACACACTACATCTGATCGTTTGACACATTTACCAGAATTTACCAGCAAAAAATTCGGACTAAAACTGGTAACTTCTGACCTCTCAATAGTCAGAGAACCGAGTACGGGATCGATTTCCAGTAAAATCTGACTGATTCTGACTAGTCCGGACTCGTACGGCATCGCAACTAATATGTATGTACGTAAATATGTATAATAGCAGTACCTTTCTTCTTTCTTTCTTTCTTCGCCTAACGGCTTCTTATGTCAAATGGCTACTGTTGATTGGTTGGGGCAACCAATAAAAAATCGTTAGTATTAAAAAATGGTTAAATAAGCAATTGGGTATTACTATTGAACGTCTCCTGAAGAGAACGTGAGTTGTCCGATCGAAAAGTATTGATTTTCAAGAATTCTATGTATACAATTTCTATGAAAAGTGGATTTTCCATATAAAATGTGTATATGGAAAAGTTTCAGCACTTTGAGCGACCTCTAAAAATTTTTTGATTTCAAAATAAAAAAAAAATCGGTATACTTTTTACGATATAGAACAATCCTAGGGTGTGAGAACATTAAAATTCGGACTTTACACTTTTTGGACCGCCCTAATGTACATATGTATGTCGATGGCCCGCTGTGGTGTAGTGGTAAGCAGTGCGCGCTTCCACTCCGCAACGCCTGGGTTCGAGCCCTGGTCAAAGCAACATCACAAAAAATATAGGAAAAGGTTTTTTCTTAACAGCGGTCGTCCCTCGGCAGGAATGGCAAACCTCCGAGTGTATTTATGCCATGAAAAACAGCTTCTCATAAAAATACAATCGCCGTTCGGAGTCGGCGTAAAACTGTAGGTCCCTCCGCTTTGTGTGACAACATCAAGGCGCACGCCACAAATTGGAGGAGAAGCTCGGCCAAACACTAACATATGTGTAAGCACCAATCTATTATTATTATTATTATTATGTCGTTGGCCCGAACTACTTTATCTCATCTGGTCGTTGGAATTTCTGAGAAATCGCCTATTGACGTTTTGTTTGGCCCACCGCAATTTTTCTTATAACTATTTATTCAAAGTTCTTGGTAGCCTCTCTGATAAGTCGCTGGGTTCGCGTATGTCTCGCGACTATCTATTTCTATATTAAAATTTCGTAAATTCGATAACCGTAAATTCATAACTTTTGTAATAGGGTAGTGAAGTTATAAGTTTTAGATCGATTTTTGATGTGTAAACATCTTAGCTCTCAGTGTGGCAAAAATTTGGGTTAACCCAGCATAAAATGTTTATCTGCTTTATGTGTAACCCATCAGAAAATCTGTAATTATTCTTGTGTGGAAATGAACATCTCTCTAATTCAGGGCTAGCGACGACTAGGTTAGGACCATGTCGGGACTAGTTCGAGATGATTTTTATACGCTTTCGGTACAGTTTCGGGACTAATTCCCAACTATTTGAGGACCATTTTAAGCCTAGATGTGGACCATTTCGAGACTGGTTAAGGACTATTTCGAGACTAGTTCAGGACAATTTTGGGTCTACATAGCTTAGGATTATTTTGTGTCCATTTTGGGGCTAGTTTGGGACCATTTTAGGAGTGATACTGAAGCACTTCGGGATCGGGTTAAGACTTTTTCGAGATTCTTTTGGCACAAGTTCCCGACTTTCTCGACCAAAACCTTAGGCCTGTTTAGGACTATTTCAGGAGCATTTCGGGACTAATTCGGAATAATTTTTAGACCGTTTCAGGACTATTTCGGGTAAGGGATCATGATAAAACCGTTTTAAGACTTGTTCGAAACCCTTTCGGGACCAGTTCACGACTTTTTCAGAACAACTTCAATACTAATTGGTTCCTAATTCTTCATTGAATAGAGAGCAGTAATTCTCGTGTATTCTTCACTATCCCCAACATGTTACATTTTCTAATCCAGCAGATTATTTTAAATTCTCAGTTTATAAGACAATCTGTCACTTTATGAAGTAAAACATTTAGAGTGCAACTTAGAACAGATGGCAAAAGAAGTTGGTTTAGTGACAAACTAGGACAAGACAAAGACTTGCCGTTGTAGTAGTTGTCCAGGCCTATGCAGATCATGTGGCCTAGCTCATTACGGGGCATTCTCTGACAGTTGTTTGCCGGAAATCGCAACGAACACTGAATATGATTGACATTTTGTGTAGTGAGCATGGGCTGTTTGCTAACCCAACCAAGACTAGCGTTGTGCTCTTCACTAGAACCAACCTTAGGATGGTTCAACTCCCTTTAAGGCAACCACAATTTAAGTCAAGTATCTAGGAGTAATTCTGGATTTCAAACTTCCATGGAAGTCACATGTTGAGCATAAGACCTCAAAAGCGTTGTCGCAAAGAAAGTAGTTGGTGACTACATTTCCTCAACGCGATTCGCTTTTTCTTTCTAACTTGTTGCCTGATGACATCATCAAGAGCATCCCTCACATTCTATATATTTCCCTTCCCGATAGATGTTTTTATGTTTTCCAATTTAGCTCCTCACGTTATTCTCCTATTTACATATGTATGCACATACACATGTTTATCTTCTTCTATTTACAGATACGCATTCGTGAGTCGAAGTATGGGCCCGCGCTAGTTATACAAACAGCCGAAACTGGAGGTGGCTATGTGCTCGGCTTTCGCATAGACCCCGTTGAACGGCTGAATGAAATCTACAAGGAACTCATATCACTGCATGCCATTTATTCGGAGAATCCCAACTTTGGCGTGCGTTATGACTCAGCGGAAGCACAAAAACGATTAGCTAGCATGAAAGAGGCCGAAGAATTCAAGCCCGATGAGTTTCTGGAGATCGATGAACGTCAAGAGCGCGAGGTCAACACAAAACTTAATACCTATTTGGCAGAAGGTACTGCAATAACCGGCACTGAGGCACCAACACGGGAACCGGTCTATTGCAAAGAGTTGGGATTCGCAATGGAGCGTATACGTGACGGCTACAAGTTACAGGATTTATGGGATGTATTGCCGCGGGTAGAAGGAGAGTAAGAATACATAAGTAAATGGTTTGAGGATACACGTAGTATTTCTAAAAAAATAAAATATGTACTGAAAGCTTTGAAGCAGCATAACTTTTTTACCATTTTTTGCTCACCCGTATGCAGACGCTTATGCTTTTTCAAGAAGTATTTTGTGGTGAAGGTTTTCGCGCATTCATTACACTTCCACATTTTGGAGCTTTCCGCTGTAGTTTTACCCTGGGGCTCCGCAGTTGCGCCGCCACCAGCAATCGCCGTGGTCACCGCGTCTATGCCGGCCGCGGCTGCCGGGTTTGTATTAATGACTAACAGCACATTTGAATTTAGCGGCGCGCCCTCTACAGCATGCACAAATTCACCGTTACTATTCAAATTCAACAAACTGCCCATTGCATTAGCCGCTACCGATGGCGCGGGTAACAAAGTCAGTGCACCGAACGTAAATCCATTGGACACTTGCGGCGCGACCTGTGGCGAGTTTGCGGTCAATGTTATTTGTTGTTGTGGTTGCAATGACTGCTGTGCGGTTAGTACTGGTGGTTGCGGCAATATTTGCTCGTCGCTAATATCCGTTTTCAATGACGTGGACTGCGGCACATTGAGTGGACCAACTTTGCTGGCAGTTGTCCCAACCTTGGACTCCTTGTGTCGTATGCGATCGCATATGCTTAGTTTGGGACTGTTGCCTGAGTAGGGCAAGCACATTAGGTGTACGACTTTCAAATGCACGCGTAGAGAACCCTTCATTTTGAAGGTCTTCGAACAAAGATGACATTTGAAATCGGGTTCGGTGGAAGTGACGGCATTGGCTGAGTGATCGTTGCTGGTGTGGCTCACGTTCTGATGAACAAGACGAAAGTGCATGTTGCGCAGCTCCTCATCACGAAAGGTAAACTCACAAATATCACACGTGGAGAGGGTGGCCGCCGATCCCTTTTCAGATTTATCATTTGTGCCAACAACCGCTTGCTGACTAAACGCAGTACTGACATTTACATTTTCCACTCTTTGTGGTGCAACTTCGACAACTTGTCGCGATTTTTTAGTTTTCTTTTCCTTATTAGAACGCTTCATTCGTGCAGATGATGAGCTGGTTGCATCTTGCGTTTCTAATTTCATCTCTGACTTCACCGCTGCCTTTTTCGTCATTTCAGTTTCCACTGGTCTTCTGGTATCTGTCGCCGCTGCTGCCGCCTCTGTTGCTGCACTCATCATTACGCTTGTATGGCTAAATAGATGAATGGTCAACTTGTCCAAACCCAAAAAGAGTTCATGGCAAATGGGACAGGCCAGTGGCCCATTGGCCGCTTTAATTAAACTGATACGCAACGCGTCGATATTCGGAAAATTTGTCTGCGCACAAAGTGGACACTTCAATGCGGCCAGTGAACACATTTTCGGAAATTTCAAAAACGAGTAGGATGACCTCACTATTGGGCAAAAAAGAACACAAATTAGACAAGATTCAGTGCGAACTGACAGCTCGAAAGTAGCACACCAAACGTATTGTACGCGTGCCACATACTACTAATTTTTTCCCAAACTTGGTAACTATTTTATAAATTCCAATAAAATCATAAAACTATTTCGTAAATTCTGTAATTACATATTTAACACAAACGACAACGAAAACGACTCGCTCGAGAACACGTCTTTCGTACTCGCACAAGAATTTCTTTTTAAGCTAGCGACCCAACGAAATAGACGCATATTTCAGTTTTCTAAAAATAAATTAAATTTCTGTATTAAAAATGAATGAAAAACAAATTTTTTCTCTCTTTCGGCCTACAAAACGTTCATTTGGCCATTCGCTCGTCCGCCGATCCCACAGCCAGCAGCTGTTGCTGCGGTTGGTTTCGTTGCCGCCGATAGTCCTCATCCAATATTATTTGAACACAGGCACATGTACATACATAGAATGACTGCATTTTCCGAACTACGTACATACATATGTATGTACATTATTCGTTGGTTCCAAATACTAGACGTCTATATTGTTTCAGAAACGATTTTTGTTGTATTCAGTTTTGACCTCATTCTTGGTATTTAGCCATCATTTCTTTTCGCCTAAATTTTGTAAACAATTTACTTAATACTCTTTCGATTGTACGAAAATGCATGTAAAGGGAATTTTCGAAATGTTTTTTTAAAGAGCAATAGCCAATCTGTACTCGGCAGTGCGGTGGCTGAATTTGGTGACTGTGTTATGTTGACGGTGATGTTAGAATATTCTTTATACACAAACTGGCTAATACCCGGCGTGCTTCGCTACGCCTCGTGAGCAATTTTGCATCAACGTTAAGGAGAACCCGTATTGAAACTCAAGTGGGAAAACCTCTTCAGGAGAAGAATGTTGCCTTTATTAGTATCCATAATTCATCCGGCCATTGTTACCCTAAGTTTCGCCACGGATCTTTAATCTTTTAAATACATTTACAAACGTCCTTAAAGATTTTAATAATAAAAGGCTTAAAATACACATACATATGTGTGTATGAATATATTTTATACTTTTTTCATATAAGGAATGTACAGCATAAATTAAATATGTAGTAGTAATGCTTATAAAATAGAGTTATTTGAATTTTAGTTGTTGTACACTTCAGTAAAAACAACGTTTCGCGTTTCATTTCCATTTCCTTGAATAAGAAAAGTTTGATTTTCTGATGAACCGATACGTGAAAGTGCCACATATAAGTTGCGTTCCCCAACTTTTCTGGATTAAAACCTGTAAAACTGTCAAAAGGCAAAAGGCAAAAGAAGCCAGAGAACCGAGTACGGGAATCCTTTCTGGTAAATTCCCGTAAATTCTTGCAACTTCTTGTGAGTTAGGGAACGCAACCATAGTTAGCCATGCGTAAACACTTCGTTACGAAGATCAATGCCGACAACGTTGAATGTTTGCCCTTGGGACTTATTGATGGTAATGGAAAAGCATGTCTCTACTGGAAACTGGGCTCGAATCGTCACATACGATATCGTACTACTCGTCACGTAAAAACACATTTTTCGGATTATGAACGGATGTTACGATTCGAGCCCTGGGCACGTTTAAACGTAAATGGAAAATCCGTTGGGATCATTGGT